GACTATATAAGTATATATTTATTAGTATACAATGAATATATGTATATATGTGTATTTATATGTGTGGGCGTGGACTTAAAATACATATAAATCAATAATAAATTTAATAATTTCTCATCTGTTATGTGAATTTTCTCTTAAGTTTGCAAAAATAAAAGAATAATTCATTAATTTTGATTTTCTTGCTCCAGAAATATGTTTGTAAACGTTTTTCGCTTTTTGTTTCGTTTTGAGTTCTTAAAAAAATTGTTTCATTTTTTTTTTTTCATATTTTTTTTTCTGTTTTTTTTGTACTTTATTCGCATTTTTCTTGTCGATTTCCTAGACGAAATAATATTGTCGTGTTATGCTCTTATTTACTTATATTAAATGCTAAATCGTAGGGATTGGGAGAGAGAGAAACGAGAATTAATTAACAAATAATTTATTATATATATCATGAGTCGTTACCGTTACGATTTCTTATTTTTACAATAATTGAAAAGTGAAAAAAAAATAAATAAATAAAAAATAACAAATTTTTTTTCACATTTTCTTATAAAATATAAAATTTTTCAAAGGACTTTACATAAGAATACAAATAATTTTTCCTTTATTTTTTTTGTTTTATCTCCAAGGTATATGTAACTTGAAAGTAAATAAAAAAAGAAATATTTTTTAAATCAATTCTTTAAAAAAATTAATTATTTTTTGCCTATTGTGACAAAACAATTTCTATATAGGAGAAAGGAGAGAAAGACAGATACACAATTTCTACTACACAAACACTTGTTTAATATCTGATAGCACATTAGCCGGAATAATGTTCATCTGGCACCTATGTACAATAACGACGATACGCAGTTTCTTGTTGCTAGATGTCCACACTACTAAGAAAATACAATTTCAGACATGTATGCCCTACAAAGGTTTTGTTTTGGCAACCTATGAGCAAATTCCGGTTTGATATTTACATACATGATTATTGATTCATATATTAAATGAAGAATGAGTCTTTGTGTGACATCACACGGGATATGAATTTTTGCCATTTTAAGTATTATTCTCTCGGCTTTGAGACTTCTAAGGCTAGTCGAATTATGTAAAGCCGTTATAAATTGCCAATCAAAAATACATGCACAGACCTACGCACGTATATGCAAATGTAGCCGATCAAAACTGCATATATATATTTATATACATCCTTGATCAAAACTACGTATATTATATATACATATGCATATCGCCAATAACAAGTACATAGTACATATAACACAGATGGCATTGTTGTTGATAGGTTTCGTAGCATTTTAAGAAGACAGACGCCATCTTTATAAGTGACCGCCTCTCTTCCAATTCAACAATAATAAAATTTTTGTTTTTATCATCAGTCACTCAGGAGATATCCCCTATCCAAAACAAAGTGAGAAAATACAAAGAGACATGGAGGTGGGCCAATCGGTAAGGGTTATGCCTGTACCGACTTAGCTCACTCAACCTAGCCACGGGTAAAGTACCGCATTCGTAGTCGAATCTGCAAATACTAACTTGATAATCGCTATTCTTACCTATGCGGTTACTCTTGGGCATAGACTTTTAGAAATGCTATCTTCTTCTCTTTAAAAAAATATATACGTGGTCGGCAATCAGCCAATCACTGTTGAGATCAAATATGAAAGAAGGGAATTACGATCGTCATCGTCGGAAACCAGATAAACTTTATAATATTCTCATACCAGCAGGACATCCAAGGCACGTAAGAAAAGGATATGTCATGAGATTATCAGGTATGATCTAAAGGTGATTCACATTTCCCGCTAGAAAGCGATTTCTATTTTGGGTAGGGGGTTCCTCGTTATCGAAGGTTCGTAACGGATTGCTGGTACAAATATTCCGTTGTAAACACAACGAACGAGAAGCCTAACTCGAAGCTCAACGAAAGCAATTGAGTAGCGTGACTGCACACGATGCAGCATGCCATCCAATGGAAGTGAATTATTTGAAAATTGAAAAATTTCTTTACGAAAATCACTTAGAAGCCAACACGCTTACAGGGCCCGTTGGTCTTATCCTTCAACTGTTAAGAGACAAAGTGTAGCATTTTATGTAAGGAAGATGGATAGCGGTTGGGATTCTTTCCAGATTGATCTTTCTTAATTGAAGTGACCTAGATTATGAAGAAATAAATTTTTTTTTTAAATTTTTAAAATTTTTTTTGAAAAAATATAGTTTAAATTTCAAAGCAAAAAGGTTTATTTAACTTTTAAAAAATATATTTAAAATTTTTTTTTTTTTAAATATCCCAACTATTTATAAAATAAAAAATTCAGGTGTAAAGAGGGGACGAGGGTAGGGTGCAAATTTTAAATGAAAATTTTAAATAAAAAAGCAGACATATTTACTTCTGTTTCAAATTTTTTGCAAAATAAAGAATTATTTCATTTATTTAAAAAAAAAAAGAAAATTTTTTTTATTACAAAACAACAATATATTCTTAAATATATTTGTTCAATTATATGCTTTGATAGTTGAAAGAAATTATTATTGTTTTTTATTTTTTTTTTTTTATTTATAAGAAATTATACAAAAATTATAAATACATTTTATATATTTTTATGAGATTAAAGTTGTTATAAAATTGTGTAAATTATTACTGACTATGATCTTAGATTTTTTAAAATTCTTTAAAAATTAATGATTTTACTTTAATAATTTATCGACTATACTTACACTTAAATTAAATAAATTTTTTTCCGTCGTTTTAACGTCGAGTAACTAGAGAATCTTTGTATATACTTCATTTGAGAATATTTTTTTCTTTTAGTTTTAATTTTTTGGTTTGATTTTAATCACCAGTTTGATAATTTTACAAAAATATCTTATTATAAAATGGTTTGTTTATTAGATTTCTTAAAAAAATTAATTTATTTATATTACTTAAAAAAACCAAAAAAAAAAAACAAAAAAAAACTTTATTTAAATTAAAAAAATAATAATAATAATAATTGTTATTTTCAAAAAAACATTCGTTCGACCTTTTATATCTGTTTAAGCATATGATTCTTCCTTTCTTTGTTGCAAAACTTACATCACATGTCCTTTGAAACCTACCTGTTAGTCACTAAGGATAGCCTGCAGTGGTACAGTAGTAGTAGTAGTAGCGGTAATGAAAGTCTCAAGTGCATTAACTTTTCTTTTGTTTTCTCTATGGCCAGCCAATCTAGGTGCTGATTAGGGGCAAATGATATGAAGAGTGGGATGAAAAAAGAAAATAATGCCAATGATCAGGTAACTGTTCGAAAGCATACGTAAAAGTATTCTACAATGGGTGCCTATCAACGAGTCAAGTCCTTTTTTCGCTTCTAACATTCCTGTGTGCACTGATCGCAGCTTTCTTTTATACCCGTCGGCGAGAAATAATCTTTGAAGCACGTTTTCATTACCAAACCAACTTCTATAGCTTACATAAACCTAGCGAAGCGTCAAGTCTTTAAAAGCCATTGTGCGAGCTTACGAAAGGTTACCCATGAACATTTTAGTTAAATGGTTCTGATTAGTTCGTATCATATTTATGGTCATGGATCTTAAGTTTGAAGGTGTAGTGCACAAGTACTTAAGTTATGTGGGGGGGAAAGAAATATTAGAAATTTATGCTACCCATTGCTTCAAATGAAGGCATATATTTTATAAGCTATAGCCGATCCGCCACCATTTTGCAACTGACCATCCAACTAGCTTCACATGGAGTTTCAATATTTTAACTGAGCTTTAGATAACTTTGTGATAAAAATTGGAAATTACATATCTTGTCTATCGTTGCAGTGCTGTGCAATTCTTCGCGATCACGGCCATTTGAAGGGCAGTGCCCGATACGGTTGACCGAAAAAAACGTTACATAGTTAAAGGAAATCTCAAATAATGTTTGTAGGATTTTGCTAAGGAAAGGGCAAATCTATTGGATGCTCTTATGGGAATTTATATGGCCAGTTTCTGCTAAGATCATCAGATTCCCGGGAAAGACGGATGAAAGGTCGATTTTTGGCATATGAGAAATAATGCAAGATTTTCTCTATATTAAAGTGCAAGTAAGGAAACACTGATAGATCACAGTCGAAAATCTCAAGACTAAGAAGCACCAAAAGGACAGTCATAGGGACATATTTTTCATGGCATTCACTCATTTGTGAACTAACAACACGGTTACTGCAGTTGCTTTGCATTAGATGAAAAATGAAAGTGCTTCAGCTATAATCGACCGATAAACAACTTGCACGACGCAATCAAGTTACGCTTGAGGAAACAACAATCAGCCGAGCTACGTTATATAAAGTAATCGGTCTAAGTTAACGGCATTTAGAATGAACTTTTTGGTGGATAGTTAAAATGAAAAGATATATGTATATATATATATACAGAGAGTGAGAGGACGAGAATAAGAAATTATAATCACTTTAAGAGAGAACAACAACAAACGAGAAGATCAAAACGATTAGGTGGTAGATTAGGGAAACCGATGTCATTTAGTCTTTAGTTTACATTGAAATTAAGAAAAGGAAAAGAGAGAAAGAAAAAAAAGAAAAGGTTACATAATATTTCTTAAGTAACTCGTTACAGTATCTGCAAAATTTATCTGCCAAGATCGTATGGTATGGACTTTTATATTTTCCAGTTTGCGTAATGATTGTTTTAAATAAAAAATAAAATAAATTATTCATAAGTTATACAAAATTATAAAAAAAATGCTTACAAGGATATGACTTAATTTAAATAATATAAAATCTCAGTTATAGCCTGAGTTTAGTTTAATGTAGTTATTTACAATTTTTAAGACAACGCTTTACACAATTAAGCAAATTTGTTAA